TCTTCTTCTTCTTCTTCTTCTTCTTCTTCTTCTTCTTCTTCTTCTTCTTCTTCTTCTTCTTCTTCTTCTTCTTCTTCTTCTTCTTCTTCTTCTTCTTCTTCTCCATCTCTCATCTCCTGAGAAGCGATCCTGAGAGCCCCCGCGCCCTCAGAAATCCAGATGAACCGGGCGTCGGAGACAACCTTCCTCCTTCTGTCGTCCGGTCCTCCCTCCCGAAAAAAGACGGACAGTCCCTTCTTCCCGCGTCTCTTCTGCCTCGAAGATTAGTCCAATGCCAGCACAGGCCTTTGGGTCCGGCCCGCTTGTTTTTCTTTCCTGTCGCTTTGCTTGGTTGTGTGTGTGTGTGGGGGGGGAGGGTGTTGTCCCCTCCAGAAAAGAAACCGGACTCAACATTTTTTTGCAACCAAGCAATTCGCCAGTCTTCATCCCCGAAGTTAAGCCCCGAAGAAGGGGCGAACCAGAAAAATAAGAAATGTGTTTTTGAACAGGCAGGAGACATTAGATCCCCACTTCAGGAGATTTATTTAGAGAACATTTTTTGCAGAAAACGAAAATGATGAGGTGGGGGGGGGAAAGGTCAGAAAAAGAAAATAACCTATTTTAAAAAGTACAAGTAGTTTTATAACTATCAGGTAACAAAGTTACAAAGTACAAAGTTCTTGTTCAATATGTTTTTGTTCTTAAAAGAAAGAACTGGTTCTTTTAAGAACAAAAACATACTGAACAAGAACAATTAGTAAATTGATTGTATTGTATTCAGGATTCTTGCCGACATTTTTAACAAGGAAGGAAGGAAGGAAGGAAGGAAGGAAGGAAGGAAGGAAGGAAGGAAGGAAGGAAGGAAGGAAGGAAGGAAGGAAGACCATCGGAGTTCTCTTTCATAGTTTGTGATTTCTCCAAAGAAAGATTAGAGGGTTTGCCCCATTATCCCAGTTATTGTGGTACTTTACAAGGTCGAAATGGCTGCTTTCCTATGGTTGCCGATTAGTCCTGCAAATCTAGATATTTCTGTGGGTCATCCAAACAAGGCTGCAAAGAGCTCGTGAAAGCAACACTTTCGCGTGCATGCAGGTGGCTATACAAACGACCCCCTTCCTAGTGTATGATCTCATTCCTCCTCCCTCCCTTAATCTCTAAAACCACACCACCAGCAGCTTCACTCTAACTGGGCCCAAGGTGGCCATCTAAAACAGTCCTTCATGCCCCCATGAGATAGACAGGAGAAAGAGAGAGAGCAAATCAACGCCAACCAAACCTTCTTCAGGACAAGAGAAGAGAAGGCAAGGAAGAGCTAAGTGAGCTTTTCCTGCCCATTAGCAAAGGTTTCAGGGAAGCAACTTCCAAATGTTTTGCATTCTCACCCTTGACCTAGTCACAATTTTGGTGACAGTATGGGAAGCTCTAAACTTTTGGAATCTATCAGCTTCGAGCCTCACCAGGGACTGAAGTCTGGATTCTTGCCTTTGTTGTACCTCAAGTTCCAACTCTTTTAATTCTGGACTCCACTAACAGTGTTGGGAAAGATACGAGCAGCATTACTTAAAGGTGCTGTTAGGGTTTCCCCCCCCCCCCCATACTGATACTGATAAGGAAAGGAGGCTGGTGAAAGAGCTCTGATTCTCTGAAATTCTCCCGCCTCCCTTATTCATCCCTAAATCACAAGACAACCCAACTCTAGCCTGTCGACTTTAATCCCAAAGAAAGAATTCTGATGTTTTTTTTTTCCCATTCCCATTCGTATCTCTCGGGTATGTTTTGAAAAATAACACCAGACTGTACAGCGGCCCTCAACAACTTGCTGCCCACATTGTATCACCACGCTGACGGTTATAACGACGCCAAGAATAGCTAGTGTGAAAATTCTCGTCCACTCCTGCAACCAGCTTTTCATTCACTAACTTCAAATCGCTCTCCCCTCCCCCGCACCCAACCCCTAGATTCTAAACTCCAGATTTGCTTAGAAGAAAGCTGGGGGGGCTAATTTCTAAGTAAGCTACTTGGAGGGTGGGCGCTAGGCACGCCAGTTTCCAGCAGCCCCTTTCCCGGGGAATCTTCTGTGCCTGCCTCCGCCCCCTCCTTCCCCGAGATCATTCTTGCATATATAACAGGCACCCCAGACTTTTCCCGCAGCCATTTCCCCCCCCCCCCCGGTCTTTCTCCGCCCGTTTCCTTTCCAGGACGCGCGCCCACCGAGCGCCACGCGAGCTACACGCGTCCTCAACAAAAGCCTCTTTCGCGGCTCGCCGCCCCCTTCTGCCGCGTCCCAAATCCGCTCTCCCCTCGACTGCCCGCCTGCAGCTCATCTGCCGCTTACAGCTCTTTGCCCCAAGTGAACAGCAACAGCCAGAGAGGGACGGGGGAAGCTTCGGGAGGCCGGGAGGGATTGGCGAAGCGAGGCAAACTCCTTGCTAGTGTCTCAGGATCCTCTCCAACAGACGCTCGTTTGTTCCATTTTTAAAGAACGGTGCCTCATCCCTTCGCCCACCTGCTTTTAAGTGACTTTTAAGCATCTCCCTCCGGATAAGTCCAGCGCCTGTATTAGCTCGAAGTCGGAATAGCTTCGGACGACCGGCGGAATAGTTAAAGCTCGAACAGTGCGTAATAAACGCTGTAAGCAGAATTTGTATGCATCTTTTCCTTTACAAATTCTGTTCCGCGGACAGCTTGGATTTGGTGCCTGAACCCGCCAAGA